TATTGTTACTATATTTATGTTTCATACATAATTATATATAAATATGAAAGTATGTATGAATTTCATATAATATAAGCAACATTTTAGACAAGTAAATATATACAGAAATTGTAAATATACAAATACATATACATTATTGCACTTGCATATAATAGTTCCACTATTTTCTTTATATATACCCCAATGTTTATATACATAAGTATGTAGTATGTGTGTGTATACATATACTTAGTGACACAATTGTTGACAAAGCATTATAAACATTATCCTTTTTTATTATCTATTCATTTTCTCTATTATTCTACTACTACCACTACTACTTGTATTCTTATACTCTGTAGACAATGTTTTAGTTTGAATATTCTGCTGCAACAACTAATGTTGAATATTTTGTGTTGAATTTGTTTGTGTGTTTATTTTTTTGTTATAGTGAAAAAAAAGTAAATAAAAAGGAAAACTTAAGTGCTTTAAATATTGTTGTTGTTGTGCAAGAACAATGACAATATGAACTAAAACAATATACTGCAATTGCATTAACAATAACTATACTTAAGTGTTAAAAATAATGTTGATTTGTTTTCGTAATGAAATTTATTTTATATAATTTGTGTTATACTACAAATAAATACAATACAAATAAATAAAAATTTATTGAAATCCACCATTTTTCTTTCAAAGACTTTATATGTATTAAGAAATGTGGTCTGTTAAAAGGCTTAAGCTAAAATTACTATTAAGAAATAAGTCGAATTGCTTTACGTGAACTCCATCCTCTTCGGTCTATATCCTGGTGATACTTTTACAACCATAAGGTGAGCTATGAGACGAATCATCACCGTAGGTGGAATGTTTTTATATGGTTCCACCCGCCTTGAACAAGCACTTTACTCAAATACTCAAGATTTCTAATCTTTGACAATTGCTGTTCCATTGAGTAACTTCCGAGATGTAAAAACATCACTTTGGGCAAAATCATCTAGAGACGTTATCGATAGACCAAAATACTAATTCAGAGAACACATTCTGGCAAGACAGGTATGAACAGTGCCGAGCCTGAACATATGTGGACAAAGAAGGGAACTCTTATGATGTCATCCGAACAAGTTACCGTACATCCATCACCATTCATCCCGCACACTTCTCATTTATTCCACATATTCAAGAGAAAAGATCCGAAACCAGTATATAGGGCCATATACCCCTTATTAATTCTGTACAGTATTCATTTAACAGCAACAAATTCACAGCTTTAACCTCACAGTCACAGTTGTCTTCAACAGCATCGAACTTATTTCCGCGAGTTCCGGTTTAAAACACAGCCAACACGTGCAACCCGTAGGGATCTCCCCAATAACCGGGACAAGGAAAAGTTCGAAACTGTACCTCGTGGGCTACATGTTGCTATGGTACCAGATAATATGGCTCCCTGGGTCAACCCCAGGTCAAATGATTCCAAGAAAAGGACGAGGATACACTTGAAACCACGAGTTTATAGTCCCGGTAGAGTAGTTCCTCATTTCCCCTTAATTGCAATCACACCAAGATAGTGAAAGTTCATCAAGGTAACATGACCCGCTCAATCATTTTAATTATTTTTTAATGTCAGACGTCGGACAGTCCTTTTGTTTCAGTTCAAATTTGAATTAAAAATTTTGTCTACATTTTTAATAGGACGCTCATCAAACATTATTTAAACCATTCAAAAACATCTAAGTTATGATTGTATCATATTTTATTATCAGAAAAAATAACCTTCTAAACACTGGCTAACTGTGCGTATACTTAATATTTAATTATTATATCAAAAAAAGTATAACTCATACGTTCTGTTGTACAACACAAAAAGTAGAAACTTGCATATTGTTATAATTAAATTTTTAATAATTTTTTTATAAATTTTAAATTTGTTTTCTTCACATCACATCATCAACAGAAATAGAAAACAACAATAACAAACAGCAAAAAAACAAGAAACTTGATTGACAGAAAATACTATAGAAAAAGTCAAGGAAGGATAACAAAATACAACACAAAACAACAAATAAGAAATAAAAGCAAAAAAAGAAATGTACAAATATTATCAAATGACATTATTAACGAATTGATTGGATATAGTATCAACATACTCTAGAAATCATTACCCTTAATATCTAATAGTCTTTCACGTTTTACACTACCAAAGACAAATTTCATTTCATGAAACGGAGATAGATAAAAGTAACAAAAAAATAAAAAAAGAAGACCTCTAGAGATAAGTAAAACGAGATACAAAATAATGACAAAACGTTGTTTTCTTTCCTTTACTTCATACTATAGCACACAGTTCGTTTGCAACAAATAAATAAAAGAGGCAGGCGACTACTGTTGTAAAGTATAAAATTGCCCAGGAAAAACTAAAGTAATAAAAATCTATAAATATTAAAAAAACATATAGCAAGAAATATTCTGAAAAATTTTTCATAAAAAAAATTAGATTTTATCTCAGTTTACTTATACTGTTACCGTCTCTGGTGTTATTTTGTTTGCAACATTTTCTGTTCTTTATTTATATAACAATTGTGTATATTGTAATTTTTATGTTATTTTTTATGTTTTATATTGTACAGATAGTTATTGTTTTTCCGTTTTTCTATCATTATTTCCTTATCAACTAGAACATTAGATTTTGATTTATGATCTTGGTATTTATTTGCTTTAGATTTTTCTTGTATCTTTTTTATTACGAAAAAAAGTGTATATATAAAGACAATTACTTAAACAAGTAGAAATCAAGAAATTTATTTATAGTCTTATTGATGATGGTTTGATTGTAATAAATAAAATCAAGGTTAAATTTATATTATTTAGTTTTAATAGCTTTATGTTCATAAAGGGAGAATATAATAAGATATAATTATTATTGTTACTTAACAATTTATATTGTTAATGAAAGTTGTAATTTCGTAAATTATAACTAAATATCATCATGTTTATTTGGTTTTATAATATGAAACTACCTCTTAGTAATGAACTAGTCAAGTCATCAACAATAGTATTCTATTTTACTATATCTGTGTAGTTTTATATTTTTCTTAAGTAGAGTAGAAGTCAAAACTTCGTTCGTGTGCTAGTGTTTTGCCTTTTATACCTTATACCACTATAGTCGGAACGATCCTACACCCACCTTACAGTATAGGAATAGGCTCAAAATCACTTTCTAAAGCGATTGAGTTGTGTCCGTCTGTCTATCTGTCTGTCCGTCTGTCAGTCTGTCTGTCAGTCTGTCTGTCTGTCTGTCTCTCTGTCTGTCTGTCTGTCTGTCTGTCTGTCTGTCTGTCTGTCTATCTGTCTGTCCGTCTGTGTGTCCACATAAATTGTAATCCCCACTATATATACAATGAGCTCTCTTGTAGTTTTTCTTTTAAGCTGGATGTCCACACCAAGCTTCATCGTATTTTATGCGGCTGACAAAAAAATAGAATCATTGATGATGTGTGCTACAAGTTACAAGCATAAAAACGTAGGATGCCTTGACTCGCAGAAGGCTTAGAGTAGATCTACTTCCTACTTTTGTAAGCGTCATAAGTGGCGCACGAATATATCAGCTGTTTTTATTTCTATTGTTAATGTGTGTTTATCAATTTTAATAAACTAAAACGCGTTAAATTGGAAAAATATAAATAAAAAACTTAAAAAACGCGAAATTCTTTGTAAATAAGGAAAAAAATTGACGCTTAAGAAACGTAGCATGTAACTTGATGCGTAGGATGCAAAGAAGGCGTGAAAAGCAAGAAATGCTTTGCCTCGAAGACGCGTAGTGGGGACATCCAGCTTTACGCGTATCTAAATTGTATATCAATTTATAAGTCTTTTAGGTACAATTTTTCATAGCCGTTTAAAGTACTTTTTACTAAGAGTTTTTTTTACTCCTAAGAGTTTTCCAGTCAGTCTTAGTCAGGAATGTTATTTCCGGAATAACATCACTTCCAAGATACTTGGATCTAACTTCGACGAATGCCTGACAGTGGCAAAGAAAAGACGCCTTATGGGATTCCCTCACCCATATTTTTAATTCAGCTTTTATTGCATCGAAAGGTTTTGCGTTCGTCAGGTTAACCACCTTGAGCTCTTTTCTCTTTAAAGCTATTACATTCGTCTTTTCGTTGCCGACTACTCCCGAGTGGCCTGGTACCCATATGATGCAAACTTTACCTCTGGGAAAATATCCAGTTAAAGCTTTCTTACAATCCAATACGGTCTTAGATATAATTCAATCACCTGATATCGCCCTAATTTCCTTCTGGCTGTTGATAAATATATTAAGCCCTGTGAGCACCATATTTATTCTAATCCAATTTACACATTCCGTTATTGATCGGATTCCAACGGTATTTGCTGTAATGTTGCGCTTGACCAAGACAGCGTTTCAAAGCTTCCGACATATTCTGTATCTGGTATGCGATCAGTTACGTCCGATGATTGTGTATAACCTATCCTATATCCGATATCCTATAACCGCTTTTGGCCAGTTCGCCTAAAGTATAGTTTATGCATTCAAACCTCTAGTCTAGTCTATTGAAAAGTTTAATGACGAATGTACTGTTATTTTGAAACTGGTAAAGCTTAAAGAAAGCTTGTCACAAAAAAGAAGTTAAAAAATTTTGTTTAGAAAATGAGGCCGTTTTTAAAATCAATTTCTTTTTCGATTTTTTTTTCAAAGTTAGTTAAATAAATAATATATAAATAAATGTACAGATTTCCTGCTTTTATTTGATACCAATATTAGTATCATACAACACATATGTATAAATATTTAAAATATTCGTTTGAAATTGTAAGCCCTTTAAACGTTGAAGTCCTTTTATAGGGATATAAGATCTGATTATAAAAATCGTAATATGCAGAATTGCTATTACTGGAATCTAGTTTCACATGGATATCAACTTTTCTTTTTATGTGTGAAAGCTTTCATTTCAAAATTGTTACAGGGTGTTATATTAAGAGTAACTTTTTCAACTTACCCGGTATATTGTTATTGGCATAGGTTGATTTTGTTAAAAGTAAAATGATAAATAACAATATTGTGAATTGAAATGATGATTTCAGCCAACAACAAATATGTTCAGATTTTTGTAGAATTTTCTTAAAACTTATCGTTGATTTTCCTCGGTAATCTGTTGTTGTAGTTGCTGTCGTCGTACTATATGGTGGTAAATTATATTGAAGGTGAGACGCTGTTGTTGCTGTTGGATCACAAAACTTTAACGTCTCCAGTATCGTTGTTGTTAGTAGACAATTTGAAGTTGAAGGTTTCTGTAAGGTTGTGGGTAATATTGTTGGTGTTGTTGTTGAGGTTGGTCGATAACGTATTTGATAATCGTTATGTTGTTGTTGCTGCTGCTGTTGTTGGATTGCTATATTTAGCTTATTATGGTTAAAGCTATTATGTTTTTTATTTTTGCGGCTACAGTTTTTCAATTTGTTGTTGTAGTTTTTATGTTTGTTTGAATTTAAATTTAGTTGTTGGTTTTTGTTATTGTTTGTGGCGAACGATGATCGCGTTCGGCTTAATGCCTGACACCACCGGTAAGACCCAGGGTCCGCACACATGCCCATGCCTCTGGTCCCATAGTCAATGCCGCTAATGGATCGTCCTCATTGCAGCGGCGTCATCTAAAATGAAGGAAATTTTGAAAATAAATTAGTTTTAAAATTTAATCTAATATGGTTTGATTTATGCATATGTACGATTAAATGGCTTAATTAATTCCTTAGTTTACAATTAGACATTTGAATATGTTATTGCTTTATTTAGTAATTTTATATTTAATGAATATATTTTTTAATTTACCCTTATTTTGTTTTAATCTTGTTCAATTTTCTAATTAATTTTTAATAGCATTCTTCTTCTTCTTAACTGATAAAATGTTCAATCATAAAATTGTTTATTATAGTAAGTATAGTAGTTGAAGACATTTTACAGGCTAAAGATTTTTTAGTTTAGTTGTTGCTAACTAGAAACTTAATTAAAAATTTTCTACCGCAAATTTCACAACACAACCCTTTTTGCTTAATTGAAATAATCCTTAAAACACTTTTATCTCCACTTCATCTACAATTTAAGTAGTTTTCAAAACTTTGAGAAAAAAAACTCAATTACTTTGAAATAAAAAAACAACAACAACACATACAAAAACATGTAAAATTAGTTTAACCACAATGTCTCAACCACCACCACCATCACTAACACTGCTAAATATACTACTTGTACATACATACAACATTTTGTATACATATACGTGAGCAAGATAAAATTATTTATACACTTAATGTCAACCTAAATGAAGGAAGACATACTCTATGTATAGGTTTTGTAAACAAATTCAAAATAGTATTTGAGCATGTAAATGTATAAAACTATTTTTATGTGTGTGTTTTGTTTACAGGCTGGGGAAGGAGGTGTTTCTACGTACGTATGATGACGATTTTATCTATTCAATAACATTTAATGTATTACGAAGCATTTACAATAAAAACAACAACAAAATCATTAAACTTTTCTATAGAATTCATTAATGATCTTTTTCACCCAACAGAACGTTATAAATAGAAAAAGTAAAGTATGTTTTGTTTATTTCACATCCGTTACGTTTATATTAGGGATGTAATTCTGCATAAAAAGCTTATTTAGTTTGATTAAAACTCTAGGAATTGCTGTTTTATACCATGTATACAAAATTTAGAAAAAATTCCCTAACTACTTCGGTTAGGTTAGGTTGGTAGGAAGTACGAAGAAATACACCTGCATAAAAAGCTTATTTAGTTTGATTAAAACTCTAGGAATTGCTGTTTTATACCATGTATACAAAATTTAGAAAAAATTCCCTAACTACTTCGGTTAGGTTAGGTTGGTAGGAAGTACGAAGAAATACACCTAGGCCACTATCGGGCCTGTTGTGCGCTATTTTTCATGAAAAAAAAAATTGTTCACTGAGTATATTATTTTTCAATGTAACCCAGGTTCCTGGACGTAATTCCTAAGAATTTTCCAATCAGTGTTAGTCAGGAATGTTATTTCCGGAATAGCATTACTTTCAAGTTACTTAACTTAGTAAGAGTGTTTGTTATATTCGGTTTTCCGTTTCGACCCTATTGAGATTTCAATAGGCAGACAGACGGACATAACTAGAGTTGTATAAGAAACCAGATACACACTCAATATACGTACAGTAAGTACAGTTTTCCTTAAACCAAGTACAAAATATTTGATTCAAGTAAGGATCTGTTAAGAACGAAAAATCTAATTTAATCCTTTTTTGAATCAAAGTGATCCGACATTTTACTTATTTTGAGAAATTTCGATTTTATTTAAACTCAAATTAATACTTGATTTGAAATAAAAAAATGATTGATTTAAGAAGTCTATATTAGACTTTGCCGATTCTTATAAACCCTTCACCATAGTGAGTTAAAAAAATATTAGCTTTATAAATTTTCAATTTATTTAATTTTACCGACTCTATCATTACTTAAGCAATTGCAAAACAAAAGAAACAACAACATTACTAAACGAAATAAAACTCAATAAATTTTCAGAGGTTGTATCGGATTTTAGCTTATATCTCCGTTATTTATGGACGTATATTGCTAATTTTAAATAGGAAACTTTTCGAAAGCATATCTGACAGAATTATTGAAGACTTGGATCCCGAAGATATCTGGGGTCTTCAGAAAACTGATTTCAACAGACAGACAGACGGACATGGCTTAATCGACTCCGCTATCTATAAGGATTCAGAATATATATAAATACACTCTTTAGGGTCAGAAAATTGTGAAAATAACAAAGGGAATGACAAACTTATATATAATATGGGTTAGAAAAGCACATAAGTTCTCTTGAAATATTCAAACGGTGGGTATAACAACAAAGATCCTATGGAGTGACTCTTCAAAATGAGCATGTCTGAAGTTAGTTTGGGTGTATTTGAGTGGACACACTGTATTACGGACACAGCTATACAAAATTGGTTATGCAGATTCAGACAAATCCTTACAGAGGACAATAAAACTTTGGGGAACTTTATTTGATATTGTTAGGCTTTCGTCAAAATTGGATCTAAATATCGTGGGAGTGATATTATGGCGAATATAACATCACTCACTAACAGTGATTGAAAAATTCTTAAAAATTACGTTCAGTTATATATAATACAGATAATACATTTAAGTGGTGAATACTATATAAGGTTTTTGTTGTTACCAACAAACATTTTCGATAAAAAGTAGCGCACAACAGTTCCGATAGTGTCATAGGTATATTTCTTCGAATTTTATGTACCACCTAACCTACTCAATACTTAACTTTGGAATTAAGGTAATATTAAACATTTAAGATTTTTTTATATAGAACTGAAATACATTTTAAAATATACTCATAGCATCCTACTAGTTTTATACATATTAAGTAAGTTTTATCAAATAGTAGTTGTACACCATTTGCCCAAAAATAGTCTGCAATACTAATAATGTAAATAGTTTTATCAAACAATATTCAAACCCCTGTAGGTATGGTGTACTCAATATATAAAAGAACAATAAAAACCCTCCAGCCATTAGCATGTAGACGAAATTGTTTTGTTTTATAGTTTTCAGCGTATAAAGAAAACTTTTCTTTCGCTTCTAGCTTATATTTTCATTTCTCAATTTAATCCTTATATTTGGGAGTTACTCTAGTTTCCCAATAAAAACTTTTATTAAAAAGTAAATTTTAAATCATAACTTAACACAAGCGCTTACAAGTAATGGGGAAAAGTTGTCATTGTAAATTGTATAAAAACCACAAGTATTATATACTTAACTATTAATAAGGCATTATTAGACTACTTCTGTGTAATCAAGACTATATGAAGTAGTTATTGGTAAATGTGTCACTAAGTAAGTGAATAAATTTGAAAGTCTTTAACAAGTTTTTACTGGGTTACACTAGCTATTGTCATTACTACTAGCATATACTTAGTTTGTAGTTGTTGTTTTTCTTTTCAATTCCTAAGCCTATAAAATAAACAATAATAAGATACGCATTTTACTAAAACTAGCAAATAATACGTCTTTTATATTAAGTTTTCGTAAAAATAAATAAAAAGAGTTTGAAAGTTTTTCGTTGTTTTTTTTTTCTTGTTAAAGAACAACTTTTTCTTTTATTTGCTTCTTGTAAAGTTTTGTTTATAGCTGCTGATGTTTTATTTTGTTAAGATCTTATTAACTTATTTTTTCTTGTCTCCTGCAACTTTGTTTTTGTTCTTATTTGCAAAAAAAGGATTTTCTTGTAAATACATAAATATAATAAAAGATTAATTTTATTGAAATTTTATCAGAAAACTTTGTTTGTGCGGAAGAGCAGGAGAAAAGTATGTACCTATACTAAGCTGCTTTCTAAAGCTATAAGGTGTTGAATTGTAAAGGTATAAGTTGTAATAATAAATAAACATAGAAAAACAAGAAAATGATTAATGAATATTTTTTTCTTTAGAAAGTTATAAGAAATAGTTGTAAATTTTGTTTTGTAAAAACTTTTGGTAGGCTTGTCGACACAGGCCATATTGTTTGGGGGAATTTTTGTGGCTTACAAACTATTTTAATATAAGTACATAGAAACTGATTAATGAAATCAACAAAAGGACAGCAATTATTTTGAAGTTTGAACTTATTTAAGGTTTTTCGGTTGTCTTGATCTTGTCTTGATCGATTGATCATTAATTTTTGCTTTAAAAATGGCTTATTATCCACGATTTATTAATATATTAAAGATTGTTTTAAATTTTGATGCGTCCTTGGGTCTAAATTTATCAAATTATCTTAAAAGTTCCGACCTGTAGAGTGCGCACAAAGTTTAATGGACACACAGACGGACAGAATGACGTACGGACGGACGGACATAGTTAAGTGATAAGAAAGTGATTCTAAGCCGATTGGTATACTTTAAGGTGGATGTAGCACAAATATTTTTAGGTGTTACAAACATCAGCACAAAAGCATAATACCCTCCTTACTATAGTGGTGTAGGGTATACAAATTATGACCCTGGCTATATGGTTGATACTCAGGCTCATATCTTACAAACCGTTCGGAATTTTGATTAACACTCTGAGGCAAAGTTGTAGCTCATGCTGAAAAGAACAAAATATATAGAATCAAAAAAACGCAGTCTTCAATTTTTCATTTCAAGTGGAAAGTTTAACATTGTGAAATTGCACTGTTTTTATTGACGACACCTGTACGTATACGTGTTAATGATTTATCGATTTTACAAATATTAAGTATACGCCTTATTTAGAGAAGAACTTGAAATAATGTTTTTTTGCGATTTTGATCTTGAAGATGAATCGTAATTTTGAAGAGAACAAGAAAAAGTTTGGTAGATACGAAGTTTTTTTTAAATACAAATATAAACAGTTTCACAAATTTTGTGAGAATTGGGTTTAAGGTATCATATGGTCGGAATGCCTGACTATAATTTTTCACTTTTTTAGTACAGATTTTAAAGCATCAAAAGTTAGTCTTTTTCTGGCCTTATTTTTCAAACGTTTTAGCCCTTTCTGGCATTTCTTAAAGTCCGATTTGGCCTTTTTTCCTGAAGCTCTTGGCAACACTGATCAATTTTGGTCCAAACA